TTTCATGTCCTCTATGCTCTAACTACGAAAATATTTGATTTACAAATAAGGAATCCTACTTCGCGGAATTTCATTTATCATGGTAGGGTCTAGAACCGATTAACCGCGATAAACGAGGGTTCACTGTAATTTTTCACAAGGAAAAGTCCCACTGTACTCATAAATTATTAAGAAACTCAATTTTAATTGCCCATTTATAAAGTGCAAAAATACTTTTTTCAAATCCACCTACATTAGATGTGTTGCTCAATTTTCCCTAAGAACCTGACTGGCCCACTGGGGAATAACCTGGCAGCACAGGTATTCCAGGACTGCCTCCACAGCATTTTATGGGTGTGGGCTGGCCAGCATTAAGACTCGGCACACATTGGGTTTTAAAGTGAATTCATTTACCACCATTTGCCAGCCAGGCATTCACTTCTGTACATTCTTATATCCATTAACAGTTCTTCAGGCATTTTCCTTCCCCCCCCCTCAGGCTCAGCATCTACCTACATTAAAAATGGGAGATGATAAAAAATGAGATGTTGAATAAAACATTAATCTCAAGTTAGAATTTATATGGCATTTTTAAAGAGGCTTGTTCCTTTTCCCTAAATAACTTCTTAGTTATTCTGGACAGTGCCATGTTTAAAAGAAGCACCCTGGGCATGGGCAGTCCAGTCCTCATGGTTCTGTCCTTTTTCCTCTCGTGTTGCTTTCCAGGGATCAGTGCTGAGTTTTAGGGCTCAGGACCTTACATATGTGGCCAGCCTGCATGACACTCCTTAGTAGGGGCCTGGGAAGCTGTTGCCCTTTAACTACTTTCATCACAGATATGTACTCTTTTTAGGGACAGCCTGTCAAAAACATTTTAGTCCAATCTGATACATTTTCTCTAATTCATAGTTTTCAAGTAAATCTGATTAATCGTTAGGCAGAATTGATAAAGAGGCAGGATTTATTCATGATACTCCCACATGCATTGTATTGGTTTATTCTTTTTTGAAACTTCGCTTGTTAAAACACAGCATTGTACGGTGTAGTTGTGGGATGAGAGGACATACTGACGTTTGACCTTGGGGGAATCCGAGTTTTCAATATTCCAGGCGCTGGGCTAGGGCTTTTGACTGAGCACTGCTGCTTTGATTGTCTAAAGATCAACTGCAAGCTTCACAAATAATTCTCTCTCTACTGTTTAGGTTGGTCACAGCAGATGTAGCTTTTTACACTGGAAATCTTCAAGCCTTAAAAGGCCTTAAAAATTTGGACCTAAACATGGCCGAGATCTGGGAACAGAAGAGGTGATAGCATGCAGGAAGACTGGGTGATTCATCTGACCACGGGAGATGTGTGCTTTTGAAGAAAACCTGGATGCCTGGGATTTGAGAACTGGATCTGGAACCTAAAGTGAACCGGGCTGGGGCTGGGGCCTCTGAAAGGATCAGTGTTGGGAAACTGGCTTCAGTGGGATCTGCAGGGAATGCCATTTTGGCACATCCTTCAGTGAGGAGTAACCGATCAGGTGTCTAACATTTTTCATTCTCTCTGGAAACAGACTCAGGTTTCTTTGGACCAAATCCAAAAGAACTCATAGCTGTAACACAGCTGTAGTTGACTAGAATGCTCTGTATACTTTATATTAAAAAAATGCTTTGCATTTCTTCCAGTGCAATGAAATTCATATGGTGTCCCACCTTTATTTAATGATGGTACAATTTAAAATATTAAAATCTTAAGTCAATCTCTGTAGAAACTTTTCTCTATGAAAGTAAAGCTATTTGAAAAATTATTTTTTTACAGATCTTTCTATAAAAAATAAACATCTTTTGATTGCTTGGATTTAGGAATTGAATTTTTGTTTCAGTGACCGGTGTCAAGTGTCAGGTTCTGTGTGCCACACATCCAACCTTGCTGCCACCACATGCCGACTGGGCGAACTTCCAGAACAGTCTCCGTACCCAAAAGACTGATGGCAAGTAGTAACTGAAGAATGATATTGACATTTATTTATGCAACTAATTTAAATACTTTTCAGAGTTGCTCTATTAAAAAGACTGCAGTTTAATAGCTGTATTTTTTTATAAAAGTATCTGTGAAGGTTTTTTCATTTGACTTTTATTTCTAGGAGAGGAAGATTACCTACTTATATGATCTGCCTTCTAAGTTTTCATTTTAACATTTAGGTAACATGAAATATGGACCCTTGGGTTCTCGTTTTTAAGTTGTTTTTGATGAACAAAGACCAGGGGGAAATAGAACTTTTTAGACAGGCTGTTGTGTTGGGGCAGAGTACGGTGACGTGTTACATTGTGCAGACTTTTATACCTGCTGTCCAAACTAGAGTCTGGCGCACTGTCCATGAAAGTGCCTGTGCCCCCTCCGGCTGCGCCGTCGGGAGTGCCTGACCCGCAGTGGTGATGCACATGGGACGGTCTGACTTTGTGCTCCCCACTCTCGCAGGAAAGCCTGTTTGTTCCTTTTGCCTTACAGACGTGTGTCATTGGTTCTTACACTGTCTGTCTAAAATAAAGCTGTACAAAATGACAGACTTAAAAAGACTTCTTTTAATAGTAGACCGTGAACTTTAAAATAAACCAGCTGTCTGCTGGGCACGAGCTTGCCGGTGTTGGAAAATGTGAATGATTCTGAGAGAAAAGGCACAGCTGGACTACCAGCAGAGCAGACCTGGTTTGAAGGGCTTTCCATGAACATGTTGTGACAAACTTCAAGAAAGGAAGCTTCAAGGCAAGAGAACTGTTAAAGTAGCCCCTCTCCCTGCACTCTACTACAGATCCAAACCCAACCTACTGCCGGGCAGGTAGTTACGACTTACTGCGCCCCTATAGCCCAGCGTTCTCCAAAGTAGTATCGATGGGGGCAGTGGGATGGTGGTTCAGAAACAGATAACACTTTATCCTGAATTATGGGCTGTAGTATAAAGATTTTTATTTGTCAGAGGACACTGAAAAGGAGGCAGGAAGCAAGTAAGTTTGGGAATGTATGCTAAAGGTCCTACATGCTATGGGACAGAAAACCTCATTTGTCTCCTGAGGAGCAGCTGGTGAGTTTAAACCCTTAACCTTACAGCCCAATGTGTAACTCAAAGCACCACCAAGGTTCCTTATACTGGAGAACAGGGAAGTGAAAGACATGTGCCCTACCTGTCTGCCAGCCACCCCACCCTTGCCCCACCCCTCCAGCTAGGAAAACAAACACCACTTTGTTCAGGAAAGGACTAGAAAGCGTGGCAGGCATCCCAGCTTCAGAGCAACAGGGAAGGTACTCAACACCTTCATGCAAGGTAATTCTTTGGGAAGAACAATGTGGTGAAGATACTGAGAAATGCAAAGAATGGGCTTGCTGGTCAGTTGAGTACTTAGTCCAAGAACAAATCTTTGCGCACATACAGTAACCATTGAGCAAGAGCAAACCCTTTTATTTGACCATTCCATACAGTGATCACTGAAAGCGTGAGGGTACACGTGTATTGCTTCACAGCTTTGTTTCTGAAATAATAAGCAATTCAAAGCTACCGTCATTGAGGCCTCTGTTAAGATCTTCCAGCAGAACTGCCCCGGTTTTAAGATTAAATGATATTGCACTTGAAAATTAACTAACGTTCAGAATTCTCTTCAAAGAAGAAAAAAAGTATTGCTTCCATCTGTGCTTTTCTTAGACTAAAAGCATACTGCAGAAAACACTACTTTGCACATTAATTCTGCAGGGTCCAGTAAGCCCCTGCCTATCTTAGAGTCCTAGAGACCGTTTTATCACGGTAAGAGACATTGTTGGGACAATGTGCACAGTATCTTCCCTCTCAGTGGTCCAAGATACGAAGGTTTCCAGATACAATCTTGTTCTCTAAAACTGCTCCAGCTGGGATATCAATCCTGTCACCGTGATTTGCAATGATGATAACCGTTCCCTATGGGGTGGGGGAAACAAAAAAAGCAAGAGTGTACTTGACACTGAAATGCAATTATTTTACAATTTCAAAACAGAGAACACCTTTTGCAATCGGGCAACTGTACTTATAACACAGCATGTTAGGGGAAATTGTACCGTTTCCTGCAACAATTCTCACAATAGGCCTAGATTCTTTTCTCTGGTCAAGATGAAAGTATCACAGGTGTGACTCAGACTGGTGCCACACCACACATGACCCGCCCCAGTGAAGGCCCATTCACATGCTGTCATAAACGGTGCTCTGCTTACATTTCTATACACATGGTGTTTTGTTTGAAAGCATTACTTGACGAGGGAAAAACCTACCCTTGGTTCTTAGCCTTAATACCAATATGAGAGGGTACCCCCAAACACTGGGAAAAAGCTCTGCTGGATGGAGCTTTCACAGTATGCATTTTTCCCGCTAAGTGAGCATCCAGCAACTCGCTCTGAATCAGTGCACCCAGTGGCGTCGCCTGGGAAAGGTTCTTCTCTCTGGTCGCAGTGATTTTTTTTTTTTTTTTAGTAAAAGCAATGGAGGACAATATAAGATGTGAAAATAATAATCTAACTTTTCAAGGGTTCGTGAGGAAGAGTGGGCAGGGGAGGGAGGGGGGAATAAATGAGCTGATATCAGAGGCTCAAGTGGGAAGAGAATGCTTTGAAAACGATGGCAGCCTATATGCAAATGTGCTTGACACACTGAGATAAATGTATGGATTGTGATAAGAGATGTAAGAGCCCTCCAATAAAATAATTTTAAAAACGCCAACAGAAACTGTTGCGATGTTGAACACAGCTTACAAGGACACTGCTATGGGAAAAACTCAAGTGTATGAGTGGTTTTCTCGTTTCAAAAAAGGTGACATGTCAGTTGATGACAAACCTCATTCTGGACATCCATCAACTTCCTGAACAGATGAAAATGTCAACAAGATTCATGCACAGCACATGTGTTCCAAGGCTGAACCATTCAAAAGATAGGGAGGTTATCTGGACTATCGAGCTTGGTTCAGCAAATTTTAACAGAACCTCTGGGAATGAGAAGGGTCACTGCAAAGTTTGTGCTTCGGGTTCTGACTGACCAGCAAAAAGAACTTTGAGTGGACACATGCCGTGCTTTGAAAGAACAGCTCCGAAGGGACCCAGACTTTTTTCCCAAGGTCATTCCATGGTGCTATTCTTACACCCCCCCCAAACCAAACATCAATTAAGCCAGTGGAAGATGCCATCGTCACCTCTCCCAGGAAAAGTTCAAGTGAAATTAAATCAAGATGATGCTTATTTGTTTTGATGTGAGGGGGATAGTAAATACATTTGGAGTTCATTCCACCAGGTCAGACTGTTAATCAAGCTTTCTATTTAGAGGTTCTGCAAAGATTGCCTAACTGTATGGGGGGAAAAAGGCCTGATTTGTGGCAGATGGGACTGGTTTTGCCACCACAACAATACACCTGCTTGTGCAGCCAACTCATTGCACCAGTTTTTGACAAAACCCCAACATGCCTCTCTTGCCCCACCCACCACCTTTTTGTTTCCAAGAATGAAGAGGGGACATGAAAAGACAGCCCCTGGAAGACATAGAAGAGGTGAAGAAAAAAATGAGGGAGGTGCTGACAGCCATCCAAACAGATCAGTTAGAAAAATATTTCCAAGAATGGAATGGCAGATTTGACAAATGTATTAAGTGTAACAGAGAATACTTTGAAGGTGATAAGCTTGTTTTGTTAAAAAAAATTGAAATACATAGCTTTGAAAAAATACCGGGTTTTGGGGGGGACCCCCTCATAGTCTACCCATATTCTTTCTTATTTCTTATGGTAGGCTGGCTGTGATGATGTTCATCAAAGTACATTAGTACCAGAGTAATGTGACCAAACATCTTTATACTGACAAGGGCTTAGCAGGAGCGGACTAAATTCAGTATAAATGAGGCGACCAATTTTCGATAGTCATTTTAGTGACCTAGCGCTGATCTCCCTCCTCACCCTCATTTAACTGTTTTTATTCATATTCTAATTCTACTTAGGGATTAAAATTGTTTTAATATTGTGAATTGGGAGAAGGCTTACAGAGCAGATCTGTTTTCCATCCAGGAATTCATACACATTTTGTTTCATCTTATTGATTATAATTCCTCAATATAAACTAATGTTAATTTAATAGCAATCCTATTTTAGGATTGTCACCTGTTAATAAAATAGAACCAGCTTAATTATTAAATGGTGTCTGATTTCCATTAGGTTGTATAATCTACAGAAGACAGTGTTAATACTATATTTTGGAAATCTGGTTTGTATGTTTTAAATGTACCTGAGTCTGGGGCAGACTCAGTAGCATTCCACGTAAAAAAAAGTGTAAATTTAGGTTGGGAAATGTAACCTGTTTTGTAAAGCTGTAAAAGAAACTGCAATTTTCAAAGGATACCTTTAATGAAACATTCTTGCCAAATGTCACATCTCCTGACACCGTGAGGTGATCCAATTCAAGCATATCTGGTATACTTTCAAATCTCCTTAGATAATCTTGAACCTGGAAGAAAAACAAAAACCTATGAATTGTTTCAAAATTGGGTCCTAAAAATATGGGATATTAAAGTGCTTATCTGAGCTGTTAAGAAAACATGGCAAGAATGCCATTTATTAAGTACTCATTATATGTTAGATCCTGTGCATGAGGGACGGGAGATGGGAACACTGCCCTTCTAACCAAGCAATTTACAATCTAGCTGAGCAGATCAGACATTAGGAAGAAAGGCAACCAGCCCACATACTAAGTGCCCAAAGAGTAGTCCATTCAGTCAGATCTAGGTAGATTAAGGAAGGCTGCATCATCATAGTTTGAGACAATACAAAAGGCAAGCTAGAATGGAACTGGGCTTTCCTGGAATGATTCAGAGCAAATGAAGCCCATTTCAGCAAGACCAACAGCAGTCTCACTAATTATCTCTCTGCCTCTTACATCCCTAGATTTCCAGTAACTGGAGAGTTTCCTGTATAGGACTGCTGTCCTGTTTTACTATGAAAACCAGAAGTAATCAAAAACGTCCACTGGCTTCCACCACCATCCACTTGAAGGAAGCATGTTAGTAAAAAGGGTGAGGCTAGGTGGGAACACAGTTGGCAATTCCATCTCAGGATGAAGGCAGGTCCTTGCACAGCCAGTCTTTCTCCCAGCCCAACCAGGCTGGTGAAAGGGGTACCCAAACCCAGCGAGGCTCCGGAAACCTGATGCTAGCCAGAGAGCCCCAGCCACCACGGGGGCCAGAACCAGCCCCACCAACATACAGACGCCAGTGCACAGGGCCACGCCAGGTGCCTCTACACCACACGGGTTAGAGATCTGGAAAGAACAGCAAGACCCCTGGCCAGCTTAGTTAACCCTACAATACAAGTCAAAAAGCATTGCCATGGGAGCTCCAGTTCATACATGTAAGGTTTTATCCAAAAGCAAGGTTTACTCATGTCTCTGGGATCAGCAGATGGCTGTAGACAAGTTCTTTCAGTAATACATTGTTTTAGTCTCATTAGGGTGCTTTCTAAAAAAAGATCCAAACAGGATTCCCAGGGAACCTGCTGGGTCAGTTCAAGGCACAGGTATCAGCTCAGAAGGAAGGTAGGGGTCTCCAAAGGGGCAGTCTTGATACATTTTCTTCAGGAACACAGGATGACCATGGGACTTTAAGAAAATTGCACTGGTGAGAAAAAGGCCAGAGGAGTTGTGCCAGGGAATTCCTCACCCACCAACCTCAACACACCATGGCACCTGCTCGTTCTTTGAGGGATGCAATGGTTGTCCTATGAGAATTGCACTGCAGTCTTATCCAGCCCTGATCGTGCCCCTTCAGACTTTTTTTTTTGCTCCCCAAAACTCTACAGATCATTGAAAAGGAACAAGATTTGAATCCTTTTAAGATGCTCGAACTACCATTTGATGTACTATAAACTGAAGAGCACAGAAATCTGGGAAGAGTTAGAGATGGCACTACCTTCAAACATGTAGACCTAAATATAGGAATATGTTGAGAAATAATAGCTTTACATTTTAATATTTTTAATAAACCAAACTCACTGCCATCGAGTCAATTCTGGGTTTGCTTTTAGCAATACCTTTTTATGTACCTTCATATTCTAACAGGGTTACATTTTTTGGATTCCACTTTACCATATTTGGATGGCTACTCCCGCTGCCTGAACGCTGTTCATTCCAGACAACTGTATGGCACTGCAGTCAAATTCTCAGGGAGGCCATCTCCAGTCACCTGATGTCCCCACCCAGGCTTGCTTTATCTCCTTAGCAACGTCAGCCCACCTGAAGAACTAAGCACTCACTCTCGCCCACCCTCCCTCTCTCAGTAAGCAGCTCATGACGAAAGCACTTTCTTTACTGCTAAGTCCTCCACACCTATAACACTGGACTCAAACAGCATTTGAGGAATTGTGGTAAGCCAGAATGCACACGCTCACATTGGAAAGCAGTATACAGGTCTTGGAAGAAGCCTAACACGCAATGTTCCCAAACTTAAAATTGTTTTTAACTCCCTGTAGTGATCATGTCTGAAGGGGGGAGGGGAGGCATGTTTTTATTGGTTATTATGGTCAGTTCCCTTTCCCAGACATCCAAGTGGGCGGCATGTGGCAGATGGCTGTGAAGACTAATCAGACTCCTAGTCTACCTATATAATTAAACATTCTCATGCATTGCATATCGCTATCATTAAACACTTAAGAAATGCATACCTTTGTAAAAGAGCTGCCTAGTTTAACCAAGGGCACTGTAGGGAACTCCCGTTTCTCACTCATGGTCAAGGATCCCGCATTAAGGCTGTAGAGGTTTGACATCACAAGTAAAAGATCCGATGTGGTTTTGACAGGCAGAAAACGGCTCCTAGGGACATTAATACCTAGAGAATTCTCGAAACTTTTAATGGCAGCCCCTACGGCAGTTTCTAACTGAATGACATTCAGGCCTCCATCCAGAGTCTGTAAAAGAAAGAAAAGCAGGTTTCAGGCCCCATGCTCATCACTACCACCTGGGCCGAATAACAGGGATCAGAAGTGCCAGGCAACGCATGCCTGCTGTAGCCTCCCAATTCTGTGTGGGAGGGTTCGATTTTATTGATAAGGAACTGGAGATTTAGGAAATCCCTGCAAGCGGCCTGTGGCCACACAGCCTGTCAGATGTGGTCACTCAGGCGGCAATGGGTGTCCACAGCTTCCGTGCTCCCTGCCACAGCCCAGGGCCCCATGGTGGAGAGGGCAGACACTTGCAGGCAGGCCAGGGACTGGAGAGTGATCAGGCAACCAAGTGTGACAACGGGGTAGACAGACTGGCGGGCAGAGGTGTCTGCATGTGGCTGATGATGGTGCTGTGTTGGCTGGGCTGCAGCCACGCTTACCTTGGGATTCACAATGATTTCCATGTCAATGGCATTCTGCTCCTGCAGTCTTTTAACTGCTGCAAGAGAGATCCACAGGTTGTTTGTGTTAAATATTTTGAATTTGGATACAGACTTGAACTCATCAACATGGGCTTTTGGCACTTGAGCGATTTCCACCAGCCTCAGTTTGCCTTCGTACTGAGTGAGTGTCCCGCCCTAGGAAAGCAAAAAACAGTGAGCACTTCCACCTCCCTGTCACCAGAAACCACACTGGTATGAGACTGCCCAGAGGTGACAGCACCAGCAATAAGTCAGCCTGCGATGCAGGAGGAGCCTCAGCTGTTTCCCATCCATGATCCACGCCCACTTGGGGGCCTCCTGGCTGCCTGGGGGCCAGCTACAGGGCAGCCACCCACGGGAGAAGGAGGAAGACAAGGACAAGAGGAGGATACTGCTGTCTGAGTCCTCAGCCTTGAGATGTGCTTGAGGCCAATAGGCCACAACTGTGAGGCCAGGGGCACTAACTCCCATGTGAGGGGGAGGGAGCCCAGGCCAGGACTGAGTGCATTAGCCTCACCCCAGCTCTAATGTAAAACGATGAATGCCAGACATCACAACCACGAGCCACACTCACTGAACACACGTGCTTTGATGAATGTGACACTACACACACACACACACACACACACACACACACACACACACACACACACACACAATTGCAAGTTTTCATTAAAGGGACAATGAACAAGCACACTGATGCACCAAACCAGAATATTAAAAGTATCAACTAACTTATTAAAGTGTTTTCATGTTTCAGATTTTTCCTGCAGAACTGGTTTCAGTTACAATTACTGATATAGACTATCTTAAAAGAAAGAGAAAAAAAGATCATTTTAATATCATTGACCTTGGATTTCTGAGCCAAGGTTGTTGTCAGGCAGCTCCGGGTCCTCTACAGAAGGCTGCCTTGTCTGGTAATGACATTGTTGTGAATAAATATATTCTCTCTCTCTCACACACGTGCACACACCCAGTTTGAACTACATAACCTCAGGGCGGTGAGGCCACGGCACCCCTCAGGATTCACCTTCACGTCGGCCCGGGTTTTGTTGGTGACTTCCATGACAAACTCACAGCGTTTTCCGTTGGGTGGGTTCATTAAATGATTAAGAATATAAAGATCCACTGTGGCACCCAAATTATCTATGTTTGACACAAAAATGTACTCTTTGCCTTCTCCGATAAGGGTATCAAGCAAACCGGAGTTGTAGAAACTGGCGTAAATATCCCCATGGCCTGGAGGGTACCAAGCGTCAGTATTTTCCCCTGAGTAAGACACATCCTTGGCTACAGGCAGTAAAGACTCCTTATTAATCCTCGGGTACCTTAAAAAACAAAGACAAAGTTCTTTTTCAATACAACTCTGTGAGCCATTAAATAAAACATTAACACAACATTCATCCTTTGGGAGCCTGCTGGCAGTGAGCAGGGGAGTCCACTTAAGCCATTCTCCCATCTCCACGGGGTGGGGTGGGGGGACAACGACAGAGGGGGTGTCAGAAGGAAGACCAGCCAAAGAAGCATCTGTGACAAGGGAGTGTCCACAGGAAAGATGGGGGGAGGGGGTACCAAGCAACTAATGGCACAAGTTCAGCAGGCTCCCTTCTGAGCTGAGCACACAGACCACTGGGGGTCATAAGTAGCTCATGGAGTGCATCTCCCATGAAAGCCTGGCTTCCCCAACTGCCTGGGCTTCATCTGGGCCTGTCACCTGACCACTTTACACACTCTCCTCCCCAAGACAGAAGGCTGTCTCTGATAGCTTACACATACCTCAGCTCCCTACCCCCCACCAAGCCTACCCAGGATGTTGAAATTCCTTCTCAAGGGAAGAATAGAAAGATGGAGACCAAGCATGCCCCAGAGCACCAGGGGATCCAGAGGTGGGGTCTTTTTATTAAGAGCTGAAAGTGAGAGAAGCTCAGGGTGATGACCACAGGCACGCAGCCTTAAAGGCTGCGAACAGAACACTCACTGACGGGAGTCTTTGCACATGGTGTGGTCACCCCGCATTAATGGCAGCAGATGCCCTCCACCCTCCCCTGGGGTGGCGCCCACCCACAAGTCACTGCTGTGCCCTTTGTACCTGCTTTGATTAAAAGTATGGATTTTCACCCGGCAATGATTGTACTTCTGTAGGATTTTTTTGGTATCTTCATCCGTGTTAAAGGAGTTCATCAGAACAAGAGGAACGTCTGTGTTGTAGGTTTTGTTCAAATGCTGCGGGGAAGGGGGGATAAGAGTCAGTTTATCCAGATTCACTCTGCTTTTGTGTCAAAATGTAAATTCACTCAATGGTTAATTTTTTTTAAGTTAAGACAGCATTTATTTAACATACAGTTGAATATATGACTTTGGCATAATAAATAACAGCTTCATATATTTCAGACTTTTTGCTAACCAATCCTTCACATGCCTGCTCCTTAAATCACAGCCCTCTGACCCAGCAACTGTCGCCTGCATGTCAGGGCTGACTGGCACAGGTGGCAGAGTGGGGGAAGCAGTCTGAGCACTGGAGCTACATTTGAGGCGCCTTAGGAGTGGACACACTCTGACTGGGCCTTCGCTACATGTCTGGAGCGCTGTGGAGATGAAGCTGTAAGCACTACAGCCAGGGCTGGAGCAGGCTCCCAACAGGACGTATGCCATCTCTGGGAGGAGCCAAGAAGCCATACAGAGTGGAAGGAAAAGCAGCCTCTTAGAAGTCAGGTTGCCTTGCGTTCAAATTTTGGCTTGGCACCTCCAAGCTCTAGCTAAGGAACCTTGGGGAAGGAATTCCACCTCTCTGTGCCTGGGCTTCCTCATTTGGGGTCATACCAGCACTGAAGGGGTCCTGGAGGCATAATACTTTAAGCGTTGGACTGCTAACCATAAGGTCAACGGTTCAAAACCACCAGCCGCTCCACAGAAGAAAGATGAGGCTTTCTACTCCTGTAAAGTTACAATCTCGGAAACACAGCAGTTGTTCTGTGCTGTCCTATAGGGTTGCTAAGAGTGGGAATCCACTCTGGCCGTGAAAGCTTGGTTTAGTTGAACAGTATTTACTTGAGTTGCTGAAAGGACAAAATGAATCAACTCAACTGGGCACACAAGCAAACACTGGAGAAATGTTAGTGAATGTTCGTTTATCGTAGTGATGAGAGAGAGCCACTGCCCTGAAAAGTCACCGGTCTATGCTTAGTGACTTCATCCTTACAGAGAAACCAGGAAGAGTTCTCAATACCTACGGAATCCATGAGGTCACATGTCTCCTGTAGCCCCACAAAGGGGTGAGTTGAGCCAGGTCCCCTACCAATGAGGAAGCCACCAGAAGGAAAGGGGGCTGAAGGGTGGGACACCACAGGAGAACCCTAAGAGAGCCAGACCTTGCAGCCACTACAGATGCCATTTAAGATCAAAAGTGTTGACATCACCCAATGGCTATGTTCTGAGGAACACCAAGGTTTTTGTGAACTACAATGAAAGCTAAAGCCAGCCAGTTCCGTGATGAACACACATCCTTATCTACCTCTTCTCACGTGACATTTCTTAAGGACCTCAGAGGGCCACTCTTCTACGTCTTCTTTGGGTGTCAAGGGGGCTGGGGTGCGGGGGGAGATGGGGGTATGTGACTCACCTCAATTTGCTGTACAGTCAGATCCAAAAAGGTATTCTCATTCCTCACACCAATCAGGCTCTTTGGGCCCTTGCAGCCCATGCTGGTCCCCAAGCCGCCATTGAGCTTCACCACCACCAGCTTGTTCAACACGGAAGATATGTTATCAGGCAGGCCCTTAGCCTTTATCTTTTCATAGGGTTGGATCTGAAAGGGAAAAAAATTATAGCATATAGATATGCATGTATGTAGTACACATGCATATGTGTATATGTAAGTGATCCAGGCAGCGTCCTGAGGAGTTTTGGCAGATCAAGGGCGGGCCAGTCCCATGCTTCCTTGAAGAGCTCCTATGGACTGATGGCTCCCTCGAGTCTCTGGTTTCTCCAGTCTCCTTTGCTGCAGACAGGACGAGACCAATCATTGTACCCTAGATGGCTGCTTGAACTCTTCTAAAACCCCAGGTGCTCGTTACTTATTGGGCTATAGAATGGTCAGGCAATTCTTGCTGTTAACAGCTCTTTATTAAAACAACAAATTACTTATTCTCTTATCTCTTCTATCTTGCAACACACAAAGTGTCAAAATCTATCACGTGTGCAGATCAATACGCTTTTTTGCACAGTGTAACTACTGAGGAGTAGGAAGCACTCTTCTCCCCATTGGTTACAACCCCAATTATCACTTGACCGGAATTGTTTCCTAATGTGACAGGGCTGTGAATCTTCCTGCTGGATACTGCTAAAAAGCCTTCAGCAACGAGTCACATTCCTAAACTAATAGAAATGATAGAAGGCGGGTGCTACCTAAACACCAAGGGCAAGGAGGCCAGGAAGCAGGAAAGGACGCAGACCACACAGCTCATTTCCCCAAAAGCACCTGGTCCAACAGACAGTGTCATGCGAAACGGAAAGGCCTTGTGCTTGGATCACTAATTAGCACTGTTGGCAGCAGCAGTCAAGAACCCAGATGACATAATCCGTCAGGCACATTTGTTGTACAAGATTAATTTTTAAGAGCAAAGAAGCCACTTTGAGGACCAAGCTGTGCCTGACGCGAGCCACGGTACTTTCAGCCACTGCATACGCATGGGAAGGCTGGAGAATGAATGAAAGAAAACCACAGAAGAATCGGTACATCTGAATTACGGTGCTGGCAAAGACTACGAAGTGCCACGGGCTGCCGGAAGAACAAGCAAATCTGACTTGGAAAAACAGCCAGAAGGCTCCTGAGAAGCAGGGTGGGCGAGACTTCATCAGGACAGATACCCCATTGGGATTAAAAGAATAATCAATACCACAAGTATAACTACACTTCCAAACTACAAACCTAAGACACCGCTCCTCACACACGTGACAACAATGGAGAAGGGCAGGATATCACAGGTTCCTGACCCTCGTCAGCACCTGTGTTCTGAACCCACCGGATATCTCTGAGGTCCCCCGTCCCTTTGAAGCAATGGCTAGACAGAAATGTAGACAGTGCTGAGGGCAGTTCTTCAAGCTAAAGCCACAGCCAAAAGACCAATAGTTTTCAGTTTCTAGAAACAGAGCTATGGAAGAGAACTTTCTACAGTGGCAGAATGGTGACCCACAAGCCACCCAAAGCTACCAGGCATTTGAAATGTGGCTAAGCAACTGAGGAACTGACTTTTAATGTTTACTTAACTTTAATGAATTTCAACAGAAAGAGACATAATGTTGGTGACTCCTGGTGACTATATCCGGCAGTGCAGTTCTAGATGGTCCCCAAAGCTCAAACAAGAAATCAGAATTGTTTTGATTTACCTTGAGAAAACTCTGCCCAAAGCATGTTTTCTTCTTTTCAATACAAGTATAATCTTTTTCATCTTTAATGACACTGACATTTACATGACATTCAAGCATGCACATAAAGTCTGACTCTTATCTCCACAAGTCAATCCTCTATTTCCATACAGTGTGTAGTCACAGGCTTTTAGGAGGGACACACTGATCTTCAACTCCAGCCTCAGAATTTGCATCCTCAGCATGAGCGTAAGCCTCTAGAATAAGCTTACCCGTCAGCACCAACTCAGGAGGCCCTGAACCTCTATGATCACTGAGGGAGGTTCCTGTCACAACTTAACATTACAACATTAGCCATGTTAAAAAGAGCATATCATTGTCAATCTGAATATTTTGTTTCAAATAAGGGTAAATAGTCTAGATGGAATTTGAAGTGGAATATGTTAAGTAATGTTAACATTCTATCAGTTGAAGTATAAATAAATGCTTATTTCAAGAGCAAAATGCTATAATAATTCATGCTTTTGAAAGTCTTTTGTACTACAATTAATGTTTTGAAATACTTCAGTTGGGTAAATTAACTGATGAAAAGGCTGAAATGAACACAAAGCTTAAGATTTTAGTTAGATATCTTTAGGAAGAATGCCATTTCCTTTTTAAGTCACCAAATGTTTATGTAAATTCAAATAATAATACCAGCCTGAGAGTTCATTCTGGTCATTAAAGAGCTGTTTGCTACACTCACATTCATAAGCTCATTAAATGATGCGAGCTTTTGGAATCAAGCTTAATTTATAGTTATTTTAATTCTTTTATGAGTCTTTCAAGAAAAAGTGCTAATAAAGTTTTCACTTTCTGTGAAGATGAATTAAAAACCAAATATTAACTTTAAAAAAAATTTAACTTTACTGCCTTAAAATTTCACCAGGAGGGGAAAAAAAACCACTCCCAAATCACAGGCAGCCATTTAATCATCTTGGAACCCACACAGCATAAAGGGTAGAAAGCTCCAGGAGAAGAGGGCGTAGACCAAAGAGGAGTCAATGTAAGTACATTCTGGTCACACTCAACAAACTTAAAAACCACAGAGTGTTAGTGAAATGCCTTCAGAAGATCATTCTTTCTAGTCTATTCAGGCTAAGCTAATACAAGAAAGAAAAGGCAAGGCGGGGATTCCTAGAGGACACCAGCCATTCTGAGTAGCCTAAATAGAATCACAAGTTCGTAACACATGCCCCAGTTTGGAATCGCAAGCACAAAGTTCCTTGTAAAAGCATGTTTGCTATTAGGAAGCTTTTTCCTGAACTGAATTCTGCTATGTACCACAAGACTCGCAATGTTCAATGGGCTTCTCCCTCTTCCTGTCGTTGGTCAAATCCTCACAGTTGGAGTTCTGTATTCAATGATGCTAAAAGCATGAAACCTGCTTGAAGAAATTTTTATAGAGCAGAAAAGTTTAAAAAAAAAAAAAGAAGCTGTCCTGCAATTCTTCCCTATAAACAGGGGCAAAAGAATGACTGAGAAATCACAGTCAATGTTTCAATCAACTTATCTGCAAGCTGACAAGTAGTCGTGGGCCGGCTCAGCATTCTATTGCAAAAACACGCTACCAAGAACGTTTACCTCGATGAGGTGTTCCAGCAAGGTGGAACAGCAGTTATGGCATTGTGAAGTCTGCTTTAATAGACAGAGACCCCCTCCCCACCCCCACAATGCTTGGCAGTAACAGTATCAACATAATGGGCCTTGTTAACAGGGAGTACTGGTGGTCCCATTGCCAGAACTTCCGAAGAGGTAACCAGCTCATGTGCCCGGAGTGTGCCTGGATTCTGTCTAATACAGCTGCGAAGTCTTCACTCCTTTTGCTATAAGGGAGGGTGCTGAAACTGGCATTTAAGAAACAAAGTCTGAGATACAGATGGTGCGGCCTGGTAAATTATTCAATATGGTTCCTCTAGCTGGTCTTTCTTCATAACTCCCACCAAATGCCTTTTTCCTGATGGGTCTGGGTAGGAAGGAGGGGCTGGACACTGTTAGGATTATATGACTCAGCTTTGAGAATATTGTTAAGCAGGGTTCCTTGTGAGTGCCAACCTGCTGGGTATGAAGAGTCATCTCATAGCAGGAGGGGAAATCTCACTATCAGCCAGGAGGGGGTGCATTCTTTCACTCCTGAAATCCCTGCACCTTCCCTAATCTGGGAGATGGCTGGGACACCAGGAGCAATGGAGGAACAGCAGCAGCAGAACCAGGAGCCACAGCACGACAGAGCGGTGGACTTCCCAGCTCACAGAGCTGAGTGCCTTCAGGCAGGAGGGCTGCCCTGTGGAGCGGGATCTCTCCAGGCCCCTAATTGGGGGAGCTAGGCTTGCTGGTCCACAGAGCTAGAGCTGGAGCTTGAGCTGAGCAACTTTGGAATGAAGCGTTTGGTGGAGTGACATACCCTTTGGATATTTACTGGCGGGTCTGAAAGAGCTCTGTAATGCTGCAGAAGCAGGGACGAGGCCAGTCCAAGATGTTGAAGGCCAGAGGTCTGACTGGACACAACAGAGAAGAGGCTGTCCTTACTAACAATTCTATCCCGAGCATTTCTCACCTAAATGGTAATCTGTTAACTTTCCTAATAGGAGCCCTGGTGGCACAGTGGTTATGTGTTGGGCTGCTAACTGCAAGGTCAGCAGTTTGAGATCACATGGGAGAAAGATGGTGCTTTCAGCTCCCCTAAAGAGTTAAACAGTCCTGGAAACCCAAGGGGCAGTTCTACCCTGTCCTGTGGAGTTGCTGTAAGTCAGAATCAACTCCATGGCAGTGAGCTTGGTTTTGTTTCTCTGGAACTTCCCTAATAAACTCCATCATGGCGAGTCTCCCCTGTGAGTCGTATGGGCATTGCAATGAATTCCCACAGTGGTGAGCGATGGCAGGGCTTTTCAGCAGCTTGGTGAGTAGAGGCACAGCTGAGCTCAGCAGCCTCGAGCAGCGGATGCTGATGATTCTTTCCCGGCCCCTCGTCAAACTGAAGGAGGCCAGTCCCCGCCCGTGTTACATTTATTTAATGGATGGAAATGTAGAGCTCTTTTGTGGTTCTCAAAGTCAGCATCAAAATTCTAGATCCAAACCCTAAATCTCAATTGACTGCGCGATATACCATGTGCATGCAAATGAAAAAGCAAAACAAAACAACACGTTGTTGTCAGGTGCCATCAAGTCAGCTCTGACCCGGACCCCCCTCTGTACAACCTGGTCCTGGGCCATCCTCTCAAGTGACCCTCAGCCCGAGCTCATCTTGCAGCCACTGAGCCAGTCCTTCTCACGGAGGGCCTTCCTCTTGCTGCGCCTCTCCACTCTACCAAGCATGATGCCCTCCTCCAGGGCTGCTCTCTCCTGACTACATGTCTCAGCTATGTGAGGCACAGTCCTGGCATCAGGGCAAGAGAAAAGAGAAGCTACGCAGAAAGCATTTGCAAGCAAGCACGAAACTTCATTTGGTGGGGCTGCTTCATGAAGTTGCATCATTTCCACAAATGAAGGTGAAGTCCGTGAGACTTAATGAAGGGTCAGGGCTTCTCTCAATTACTCTTTTGAGGAAAAGGGGGCTTGACATCATGGCTGCAGGAGCATCCAATTCATTGATAAATGGGGAAGTGTCTCTTGCTCCTCTACCAGCCCCCATTGACCAGACTAAGTATCACAGGTGTGATGGCCACAATCCTACTGAGCAGGTGACCATTCACTGTGATATCAATGTTTTAACAGATGGTTGCTAAATTTCTACATAAAATAGACCATCACACAGCCTGGTACCAGACAGCCCCACCCTGACCTAGAGCAAATGCTCGGGGCGCTCCCCTGGGCTTGAAACTTGCAGTAACAGGTGTGAACATTCTAGTAGTAGTTTGATGATCATGTATGTTACTGCAAACAGGACCAAAAAAAAAAAAAAAAAGACCATCACAACTTTCCCCTCATATCTCTCTTTGTCTGGGAGGGTGACACAGGTCTTGCCCCCATGCTGATTTTAACACTAGGCCATTTTGCCTTCAGCCCAAAAGTCTATTACTAATTTTAATTAACCTCTCTTCTAGATTGCTACTTAAGAACACAAGTTCAAATTAATAAAAATGTAATTCCCATTAATTTTCAAGTATTTGTTGTGGAAGAAAATAAACGGATTCAAATTTCATAATGGCATTCCCATGCTCTCAGGGCACACAACCACTCATGGCCACAGAGTGGCTTCCACCTCATAGTGAGCTTACAGGGCAGGTTTCTGAGACTGTGACTCGTTAGGGAGTGGAAAGCCTCACCTTTCTTCTGCGGAGTGGCTGGTGGTTTCGAACTGCTCTCAGCTATCAGCCCAATGATGCCAGCAGGGTTCCTCTTGGGCACAAGCCCTGGCGAGTTACAAACAACTGTTTACTATCTGAGTGACCACGCAGAATTCTCTTGGAAGTGTTACATTCAGAACCTTGCGCCCCAATTAAGTGGGGCAAGGGGGTACCTTCCCAGAAGGTAAGGGAGTCATGGTGTATGTGATGCTTTCCGAACACCGACTTGCTGGAAATGAACCCTTAAAGTAGCTCGCTGACTACAAGCCCTGGAAGGGATGTGATCCTGTAGGTCAAGGGAAGAACTATGGGGGAAAGGAAGGCAAATGTAACGAGCTAGAGAAAGAAGTGGAGACAGTTGTCCAGCGCAGTCAGGTCAGTGCTGCCTTTGGAAGCCTGCCCTGGGAGCCTTTCCCTGTGTTCACTGACTTACTGCCCTCCTTCCCCCTCCAACATCCACACATACACCCTTTGCACAAAGAAAGGCACCAACTGTTTGGCACTGTTTCATTTAAAGCACACCTAGTCGCAAAGGCCTTTGTAGACTGGTCTCCACTTTCCTGCCCAGCTCGAGAGAACAGTGAAGGCTTGCTGTTGTCGGAGCCAACCGGGAGGACCAGGCACTGCCCGGCACAGGCTTGCTGTGGCTCTGGCTGAGCCACTTTCGTCCATCCTAGGGCCGCCTCTGTGCCTCATTACAGCCTGGCTCCACCTCTGCCAGTGTGAGTGGACTCTAATGTGCCCACAAGAACTCTACTGCCATTAAAGACGCAGAAAGGGGAGGGAAGTGGGCCCCCAGGCCCCCTAACAGAAGGGATGTGGGGGCTGGACCCCTCCTGTTCTCACTGCCACTCAACGTCCTTTGGGGAGGAACGGAACCGCACAGTTGGCAATCTGCTAAAGAACGTGCTTCATCAACATGCGGCCCTCTGGGATGTCAATCTAGTTTTTCTACGGAAACTGCAAAGAGATTCTGTACAACAAAACAAACAAAAAAGCCCCAAACACCCATCTACCATGATCTGTATCTGCCAGGTCTGTTCACAGCTCAGTGTCTAGTTAGAAGAAAAGCTGAATTCATCACTCCGCCGTGGACACACTGTTCCCATTAGCAATAGTATAAGCCCGTTCTTGGTAGCATATTTGTGCGATTCCTAGAGACAGCACCAATTGCCCAGAGCACGCAAACAGTACCTGCTCTGTTATGGTTCACAAGGGCATGATTATTACAACCTGAAAGGGTGTTTTTTTCCCTTTTCCTTCAGGAAAAGCACATTTGCCCAATAGAAAAAGAGCCGTGCACACTGCATAGCACGTTCGGATGACACACCAGACGTGTGAAGAGAGCGTGTTCCGGGAAACTTGGCTCACTGGCTACGCCCGCGCTGCATACAGCCCGGGGCGCTGCGCTCTAGGCCCCGGAAGCTGCCCTGTGGAGCAGCTCTCCTCTGTCCCACAGGGTCACTGAGTCCACGCTATGGCAACAGGTCTGTGGTTGCTTTGAAGCAATGATCCGAATCTGAATCCCTTGAAAGTTTCTACAGAGTGATTTTTTTTTTCAGAGCAATTTTTTGGACAGATAATGTAGACCTAGATGGGAGATCTGCCCCCCACGCCCCATTAAGGAGAGGCTGCCAAATCACACTAGATACATGCAACACCCCTCGGCCATCAGAGTACACGAGTCCTATTGGACAAAGAGGTTAAAAGGCACCAATGGGCCCCTCAGCTTCCTGCCATCACAGCTCCAAACCCAGCAGCACCTCTACTGTCTGTTCCCCTTCCTTCCGCCAGGCTATGGAGAGCTCGCCCCGGGTGGGGGGTGGGGGGGTCGTGCTTCCTGCCAGGGCCTATTGCAAGGCCTCATTTTTATCAACCAAACACCACATGCACACCTCTTTTCAGTCTCCTTTATTCCTTTCCATCAGCGTGAACATATACACATGTATCATCAAAATAAACCAAAAAACAACATACCCTCACGCACCCTTCCCTACTCCCACACACCTTTTTCTCCACCACCTCCATGAAAAAAAACCTTTGGACGAACAGCTGCCCTCACCTCAACTACCACAGCCCCTCTTACCTCCCTCACCCATCAATCCGGTTTTCTCCTCCATTCAGGAACAGCTTCCCACCACACCACCCAACAGTACTATTGGCAAGTAATTTACATATCATATAATTCAATGGTTCAATCATACCAAGAATTGTACAATCACCCCCACATCAATTTTTTTAACATTCCCCTCTCCCATGGTTACATCACCTCCAAGATGCGTTATGCAATCACAATCCAGTCTAGTGCTCCCTCCCCCTCCCGTCTCCACCATTCACTCCTGAGAGCGCCTTACCCTCCCCATCATCCACTCCCCACCCTGGTATCCCCTATAACTCCCCCCCCCATCAGTTATTCTTATTACGCATTCACTCCTCCTGTACATCACTGCTGGGAGACCCAACAGAAAACAATGAAAACCAAAATCACACTAAGGTGGTAAGGATAAAAACATAATAGTATACAGAGAAATATACAAATAATGTGTACGAAGGGACAGGCCCCCAGCCAGGGAAGACATTTCTGTCATGGAACCAGCAGGAGATGCCTGCATCCAGCACCTACTCAGCTCTATAGGGTAGTCAGTCAGCTGGCCAAGTCTCAAAGTTGGTCCAGCATCATCAAGATTCCAGTGGTCTCTAACGGTTGGTAAGGCTGTTTGAGACTCCTGCCTGTGGGTACTGGCAGGAACGGCTCTCAACAAGGTCAACAACCTGCAGCTGGCCCCATTCTATCAATTAAGTTAGTACTCTTCTTATCTGATCTCTCAACTGCATCTGACTCAATCCACCACTCCTTAAATTGTGAAACACTCCCATTCCCCTTCACTTCCGATAAACCACACTCCATTTTCCTCCCCTCTCTGCCACATCCTTTGAAAAGCCATTACGACCTCCCTCTGCCAAGCTTTCCCCTCCGTGGCTCTCAGCACTCAAGTATTTGATTCTTGGTCTCCATGGTACCAAGACACGCCTGGCTGCTAAAGGCAGGTGCCTGCTTACACACCTGATCATTTGTCTGTCTTTGCAACCACGGTTAGTACCCTGCTCCCCTCTCAATTGCCCCACCGCAATGGTCTCTAAAGTTTCCTGGTATCCTTCCCACCCTCCCTCCACCTTTCAGGCAGTGATAGAATTAGGGCATGCTTCTCGATGGCTAACCCCAAGATCAGTGGCTCAAAACTACCAGCTACATTTGAGGCGAAAGGGGAGGCTTTCTATTCCGGCAAAGAGTTATCTTCTCAGAAACCCACCTGGGCAGTTCTACTCTATCCTACAGGGCTGGCATGAGTGGGAACTGACTCAATGGTAGTGGGTTTCACTCATAAAACAAAGATTGATGTGGCATGACAGAAGTTACTCAGGTGCCTGCCCCATCTTTTTCTTTTCCACGTTTGTCTCCTGTTTGCGGGGCACATGGTAATCCGGAATAAAGACAACATTTCCCAGCCTCCCTTGCAGCTGTGTTTCAATTCTGGCCGATAAAATTAAGCAGGAGTGAGCTGAAGGATAGCTCTGCGTCAGAACTGACTCGATGGCAATGAAGGTTTTTTTGTTTGTTTTTGGAGTTTTGAGCTGAGGGATCTCTACGAACGCTCCTCTTCCTCCTCTGTGCTCCCTGGCATGGAGACAAGGTGATAAGGCCGGATGGATTTCTCTCTGGAGGCCCCCGGGAGAGAGAAGGACGACAGAGCAGCAGGACACAGGCCTGGTTCCTGGTGACTGCCCCACGCGACGGGCCTGCTATACTAGCTCTGGATGCCTCCCCCGAGATTTATTTTGTTATGTGGGTTTTTGGTTTTTACATTAACAGTGTTAAAAAGTTCATGGGAAAATTCCATTATCTTCTCATTCCATTTTTCTACCAACTTTTTGAAGTCCCCTCCTATGCAACTGAACTAGTCCTAACTGGCACATGGGTTTTAAAGTCCTGAATTACTTGGCCCTTTTTACCTGGCACAGCTCTGGTGGTGCCGTTAATGGTGATGTGTTGGGAGGCTGCTGACTGCAAGGCCAGTAGCCCGAAACCACCAGCCACTTCACAGGAGAACGATTCGGCTTTCTACTCCAGTAAAGAGTGATGGACTCTGAAACACACGGGGTAGTTCTCTGTGTCCAATCCGGTTGCCATGATCAGAACCGACTACATGGCGGTGGGTGTTTTGTTTCTGTTTTCAACCTTGCAGTCTTTCCTCTTCCACTCCAGCACGCCAACATAGAATGCCATCTCTCTCTCAGGCTGGCAGGCCTCTGGCACTGGCCCCCACGGAAACCAACCTCACTGCACCACAGCCACCACATCGCAGCTTATGCCAGGGATTCTCAGGCTCTGTGAGCTACCGGGACTTGTGAAAATCAAAGGCTAGTGGGTCCTTTTTCAGAAATGTGCACACTCCACACATGCACAGAACCACACAAAAGCCTCATTCTCACATATAATTTATTACATACATTGGAAACTTCACTCATGAATATAAAAATAAATCTTTGTTAAAGAGATGGTCCTCGCAGAGGCCTATGGGTCCATGAGGACATGGTATA